GTTAACAATGCTAACTGGATCATGGTTGTTTTTTTAAAGCTTTTATTGTGAATTGAATGATAGAATGATAGTTTACATTGGTTTTACACTCATCTTATCGTATTTCATTTCATCGCAATAATTACAATCCCCTCCATACATCATCATTCAACAGTATTTGCTTCTATTACCTATTTGTTTTGTTTTGCTTTTTTGTTTTTGATGTACACAAAAACACTCAGGAATATATGATCATTTAAACAACCCAAGCACCCATTCTACAAGCCTGTCTCCTGTCCACCAGCACACAGCCTTTCTCTTCCCACAAGGCTAGAGTCCTCAGCTGCTGTATCTCTCCATGTCATCATCTCTGCCTCCATCTCTGGTGTTGCTGCTTCTCTGAACAGGGTCCCACATTCTGTTCACGCTCTTCTCCCTTAATGGTCATAGGGTCCTCTGTTCCTGGAATGTTGAATTAACTACTCCCCGCTTTATGCTACAAAACTTCTTTTACAGTTGTGACAGTCGCAATTAGTCGTAACAATTACTACTGAATCATAAGAATCTTATCCCCACTTCCTTTCACTAAACCCGTCTAGACAAGATGAATACTATTCAGTGGGGATTCTTTGACCATGATTTTTGAGCTAATAGAATCACAATGAACTTCAGACCTGTTGTGGAACCCTACGGCCCTTTAATGTACACAGAAAACAAAGAATGGAGTCAAAATTAGAATATTTTGCTTGTGTTTTGTATGAAAACATGCTTCAGGTCTTCACACAGACCACAGATACTCTTATTAAGCTGTAATTTCTCGCTCATTATTGACAGCTGGCCTGTTTCTCTACCCTGCTCATCACTCACTTGCAGGAGACAGTTACACTTCTTTACTGTCTACTCTACATTGTTAAGTGCTGTCAAGTCCGTTCCGACTCATAGAGACCCTGTATAGGTTTTCTGAAAGCTTCATCTTTCTCCCACAGAGCAGCTGGTAGGCTCAAACCACCAACAACAGTCCAGTGCTTAGCCTATGAAGCCATTCAGTTCCCACCATCCATTCTAGGACTTACAGGCGAGTTTCATATCATTGTCTGTGATGTTGCATTGTTCTGCCTCATTGAAAGAAACAGAGATGAGTAAAATAGATTTTGTGTTCTCTGTTGTCTGACATTTTGAAAATGAGGAACTTTCAAACTAAAATGTCCTTTGAAATTAAATGTGAATGTGTGACTTTGCTGCACTGTAAAGAAGCAATTCTTTACATCAAGAAAACAGGTGAAAGGTAAAGAAATTGTGAATGTGGAGTTGAAGACTGTCCTAAATACAGAACTGCCAAGAGACATCCCTACAAAGGGGAGAGATTCCTAGTAACAAGAAAGTAATATACAATTATAATGAACGTCTTGGGACATAAAACTGCTCTTTGCCTTTAGAGGTGGAGGAGGAATACTGACCAAGTTATAACTCTTTCATCATCAAACTTCAAATATATCTAAAATATTCAAATATATCTTCATGGAAAATGTTTCTATAAAATATAAAGTCTGAATATACAAGGGGGCTTCAAAAAGTTTGTGGGAAAGTAGAATGAAAAGAGAATGGAATTTTTCCATGAACTTTTTGAAGACTCCTCATCTAAAGGGTCAGAAATATTTGCAGATATATGTGTGGTACAATGAGTCACTTTGTACACTTTGTGGTACAATGGATCACCTTCAAGCCAGTCTTTGTAACTCCCTCCAAATTACTGAGTGGGGCTATGCAAATGTTTATGGTCCCCCAAGAGGATTGACTCCCTTGTGAATGATGTAAATAAGGTGCATGGTACCCTTGTGAGGGTTGTTGTTGAGTTAGTTCCAACTCCTAACAACTCTGTAGACAACAGAACTCAGCACTGCCCAGTCCTGCACCATCCACACAGTTGTTGAGTCCCTTGTTGCAGTCACTAAGGCAGTCCACCTGGCTAAATAGCCTCCTCTTTTTGGCTGACCTTCTACTTTACCAAGTATGAAGTCCATCTCCAGAAACTGGTCCCTCCTGATAACATATCCAAAGTACATGACATGAAATCTTGTCACTTCTAAAGAACACTCTGGCTTCCAAGACAGATTTGTCCATTCTCCTGACAATCCTTGGTAGATTGCAGGGATTGTTGTTGTTGTTAAGTGCCGAGTCAATTCCAACTCAGTGACCCTGTATAGGGTTTCCAAGGAACAGCTGGTGAGCTTGAACCACTGACCTTGCAGTTCAAACGGCTTGGCAGTATGACACATTAACCCACAGCGCCACACCAGGACTCCAAATAAAGTGTATGAAACCCTAAAGAGGGCATTGTTCCATTTTGCTATCTCATTAGGCTTTAAATGAGCTATCTCAGAGGCAGCAAGCAGGAATCTACCACCAAGAAGCGCTGGGAATGGAGTGTATTGTATCCTTTGGACCCAGGATCCCTGCGCTGGGAAAATTCTGAACCCAGGAGACAGAGAGGTTTTTAACAGTGGAAACAGTATGAAAAAACAAGATGTAGTGGTAGGAAAACAGCGAGAGGCAACAGAAGCAGGAGACCAGCAGGAGCCAGTGTGGTGGGTACCCCATCCCACCAAGTGCCTTTATGCAGGAAGCCTGCTGGCAGAGTGGAGTGCCCACAAACTCTTGTCAGTGGAGCTAGAGGGTCAATAAAGAGGACAGCTTCAGCCAAGTGGACTGACACGTGGCTACAACAATGGATTCAAACAGCAACAATTGTGAGGATTGTGCAATACAGGGAAACGTACAGAGTTGTTATGAGTTAGAACCGACTCAAAAGCAACCCTCACAAGGGTGCCAACCTATGGAGCTAGATAGCCGAGAGCCTTCAGACTAAGGTTTACTGGCAGAATGAGATAACCTCTAGGCACTTATGGTAACACATACCCGAGCAGGGCAGTGGGGCCTAGGGCTTGTGAGTTGGCGACCTGTGGATACAGCTGAGAAGCAGTCCTGACTATATCCTGAGTTGTTTCTGATGCTGAATTGGATCCTGTTACTTCCCTAATAAACTCCATTAACTGTGAGTAAGGTCTGTGATTTCTGCGTGGTCATTACAAGGAACTATCAAACCCAGCAGAGAAGCAGAGTGAGCCTTAGGAAGGATCGCTGGTGTCCGAATTGGTAGAAAGGTGGGAAGAGGCTTATAGCCAACCTCGCTCCTCACAGGACTTGGCCTTGGGCTGACACTGATGGTGATTCTCTCCCCTCTCTTGAACTCAGATGAAGTCAGATGTCTCCACCACACCTTTTTTATAATATATATGAGCTCAATATTTATTCTGTATAGACTTTAAAAAAGTAAAGCTTATAACTTCTTGACATTCTTAATCTAGAATCACAAATTTATTAAGGAAGAGGATTACAATACTAAACTCATGGCACATTGTTTGCATTCATTATTACTAAATACATTTGCAGCTGAGACACTAACAAAAAATGTCTTTTTTAATCACATTTATTATAGTTCTTAAGACATCTAATTTCTAAACTGTAGTAAAAATGTATTAAAATTGTTTTCAAAATATTGTTCAACGTTGTATACACTTTTGTCTTCAATATACAAAAACAAACAAGATGAACAATTTAAGATTGTGGGTATTCACAAAGAATAGAGAAGAAATAAAACTGAACCAAACTCCCAAATATGTAAGTAGCTGAGTCAAATATTTTGAAGGGGATTTGTGTGTGTCAAGGTGCGTACGTATGGACACATAATTTTTAACTCTACATGACCACCCAAAACTGACCTAAAAATGAGAAAAAAAAAAAAAAAAGTAAGGTAGCTAGTGGCTGTCCAAACTCTTTATATTCAACAATCCCATCATTCTTCCTTACTACAAACCCAGATTTATCTGCCTTCTTCCTATAGCAGCTACAATGAACTACTACTATAACCAGTGTTTTTGTACAGATAGATCCTGAGGGACGAACTCTGGAAAACAGAAATATTTGAAGTCATTTCCAAACCCACTGTGCCAGGACTGACTTTAGAGAGGTCATGTAAAGATAGCTGTTTTATGCTTCACACTGCTCAAACAAATTGGTTGCTACAATCCACCATAGGTCTAAATCAAAAAAAAATCCATTTTCCAGGAAAACATTTGAAGAGCCACCTCAAACTCAAGGCTTGGCTTTATTTAGTCTTTGATGAAAAAGCATGTCACCCAAGCATGTCTTTTTCATTGACTCTGTGAAAAGGCTTCTAAAAAGACCAACTCAACTTCCCAACTAACTTAGGTTCTCATTGTTTGGCATCCAGGGTTTTTCCAGAAGCTGTCATTACTTCTATTTTGTTGTTGAGGATCCAGTTTTCTCTTGATGTGCTTTTGTTCCTGCAGAGTATAGAATACTCTTGATCTTCACCAGTCTTCTGAAATGGGCAGGGCAGGCAAATCCTCGCCATTTTACTGATGAAAATAAGCAGATGACTTGCCAAGTGGCATGCTATAAATGATGATGCTTGCACCAAATGCTCCAAGTCCAGATTTCAATTTTACTAAGCAAAAGCATGACGAAGAAGGGCGATTGCTAATCTACTAACAAATCTGCTGATATGAACACATGGATGATATCATTCACACACTGGGTATTACCCTTTGAGGTTGACCACATAAATCTGAATCAAAATTTAGAGTTCACTTGCAAATCATGACCACGAATTTGCCCTTCCTTTGTTTTAGACTGCCAAATCGCTAACTGGCCCTAACTAGGAAATGAGTCTTCCGAGGAGCAATGGAAAGGAACCTAAAAATCCACAGCTGCCATGAGAAAAAGAATGACGTAAGAAAGAAAGCTGCTAGACTCTAAAGTGCCAGAGGGAGAAAAGCATTTGCAAAGAAAAGAAATATCGTTTTTGTGTTACTTGAAGATTTTAAACATAATAAATGATATAAACATATTATATGGCATATAAATGTAAAGATCGACACTATTTAAACTAGAACTGCAGGATTAAACAGATTCATACTCAAAACAGACTTTGTTTCTCTTTATGCTGACTGCTTTAAATCTAGCAAAAGAGATTCGTCATCCTCTACTTGCACCTGAGGTTTAAAAGTAACTTTTAAAGGCTCAGGGGTTGGGATTTCCCCTCCGTCTTGGGAAGGATACACTGCCCTGGCCTCTTGGTTTTCGGCTCCACTGAGCTGGTCAGAATAGATCTCGCTGATGGGGCCCAGAGACTCACTCCTGGCAATGATGTCCACGCCCATTTCCTTGATGCCCTCCTGGCCTTCAGCCAGAGTTCGGTCTTTAGCTTTTCTAAGGCTACGCATCTTAAAAGCTTCCCTAGAGGGAGCTGCATTAGAAATTGACTTCTTAAATTTTTCACCAGATTGCTTGAGCCTCTCCCCTGACTGTCGGAGCCTCTCCCCGGACTGTCGGAGCCTCTCCCTCCTCTCGGGGGTCACTATTCTCGTTCTAATTCTGTTCACATTCTTGTCAAAATTCTGCCGTGTCTTCTGCATGTTCTCTTTGGAAAATGCCTTTTTGATGTTATCAATGCGCTCCATGCCTGACTTTCTAAACCTAGCTGATCTACTTTCTTCGACATAATACTCTTCATCAGAAGAGAGATCAATGGGCGGGTCAAAGGCATTGTCGTCTTCCTCTTGATTCTGAGTTAGGTTTGGGTCTGTAACAATAGACAGGGAGGTTGGGCATGGTGTCTTCTCCTGAACAAGAGAAAAATAAGGCAGCGTTAGTGTTTTCTTTGCAAAGGATTATCAATTTGTTGACCTCCAAGCCATGCCTTTTGAATCTCGTCCATCGGCTGGTTATCCTTTGCCAGCTCCCTAAATGCTAGTATTTCTTAGGGTTCTCTCCCTTGGCCCTTTTCTCTGTATCTCCCAAGCTCACCCTGAGCATTCTTATCCACTTCCATGCCTTCACGTCCAAGTGTTTTAAGCTAACTCACATTTTATCTTCACCTCTTCCCTTCACCTGACAAGAAGACACTTTTTTGAATAATGTTCAGACTTCTCAACATGAAAATACCGCAGGCTGTTCAAGCTCAACATTTCTAAAAAGCAAAACCCATCTGTCTTCTCCACATTGGCTTCTTTTCCTGTACCTCACTGCACCCACACCCATCCAGGTGCGACCCAGGATAGAAACCTCAGTTACCCAAATACTTCTATCCTCACTCCATAGCCAGTTGGTAGCTAAGCCCTTTGAATAAAACTGCTTCATAGCTTTCTTCCCACCTCCTCATTCTCTACCAATGTCTTATTCAGGTGCCTGTCATTTTTGGATTGAACTAGTGTAATCCCTCCTCACTGACTGATCTCTTTACCTCCAGAACACCACACAAGTGTTTCCAAATATTTCTCGAGTACTGATCACATCTTTCCTCTGCTTCCAAATTTTGGGGCGCTCATCAACACTCAAGGGACAGTTTTCAAATTCTTTAGGATGATCTACGACTCTACACAGTTTAACCTAAACCTACTTTCCCACTTCCCCAGTCCAGCAACACACAACCATTTTCCGTTTCTCAACCATAAGATGTTTTCATCCCTCTATGCCCTGTATGTCCTGGTGTGGCACTGCAGGTTAATGCGCTGGACTGCAAGGTCGGTTTGAACCTCAAGGTCAGCAGTTCAAGTTCACCAGTCGCTCCTCAGAAACCCTATTCAGGGTCACTATGAGTCCGAACCAACTTGACGGTATTTAACAACAGCAACAGCCTGTACACAGATACACAGATGTGATGCTGTAAAATAAGCACTGGACTGTGAATCACAAAGACAGCAGTTCAAACCCACCAGCGGCTCCTCAGAAACCCTGTATACGGTCTCAATGAATCAAAATTGACTCGACAGCACTTAACATGGCCTGGATAAGTGCTTTTTGCTACTTTCAATGTCCTTTCACCTCTTTTTAACTTTGTGAATTCATCTTTTAAGACTGAATTCACATGTCCCTAACTTCTCTAAATGGCTAATTTTGTCTGTCCCCAATTTAAACCAAAAAGACGCGTAAAGTATACCTGTATTTATACCACCTACCACAAATTGAACTGAAGTTCTACTTTTATATGAGGGAGCATCAGAAAATTTGTGGGGAAATGGAATGAAAAGCTAACGGCAATTTCTCATGAACTCTGTGAAGCCCCTTTGATTATCAACCTCTTTTTAGCCAAATGTGATTCCTTGAAAGCCAAGATAATGTTGTCTTGTTTTATGCTCAGTTCCATCATGTTGTTAAGTGCTGTAGAGTCAGAACCGACTCGTCGTTAAGTGCCGTCGAGTTGGTTCTGACCCATAGCGACACTGTATAGGGTTTCCAAGGCACAGCTGGTGAGCTTGACCCACCAACCTTGTGGTTCAAACGCACTGTGCAGTCCAGCGAATTAACCCACAGCGCCACACCAGCACTGCTCCAACTCGTTGTTGTTAAGTGCTGTCGAGTCGATTCTAACCCACAGCGACCCTGTATAGGGTTTCCAAGGGGCCGCTGGTGAGCTTGAACCACCGACCCTGCAGTTCAAATGACTTTGCAGTCTGACACATTAGCCCACAGCGCCACACCAGGACACTCTGAACTCATTAGTGATTTGTATAGAGCACTTGTTTTTAAGAGCCTTTGAGTCCGTCTGACTCATAACGACCCTGCATAGGGTTTCCAAGACTTTTTTACAAATCTTTTTGAGAGCAGAAAACCTCCCCTTTCTCCTGCAGAAGAGAGGGCTTGAACCGCGTACCTTATGGTTCACAGTCCAGTGTTTATTGTATGGAGTCATCACACTCCCATGCACATTGTTGTTTATGTTGTTAAGTGCCATCCAGTTGATTCCGACTCATAGCCACCCTTTATAGGGTTTCCAAGGAGTAGATGGTGAGTGTGAACTGCGACCTTGTGCTTCAAACCAACATTGCAATCCAGTGCTTTATCCCACAGTACCACACTTAGGTGTACTCAGAAAATGCTTGTTGGAGAAAATAAGCAGTGTATTTCTTCATTCAACAAATAGTTACTACGCACCACCAGGCACCAGTCTGTTAAAGGAGTTGAGAGGGGTGTGAAGGAAACAGAAGAGCTTATACGCTAGTGGAAGACAGATAAACAAAACACATAGTATGTGTTAGTGGTAAGTGCTGAGGTGAAAAAGCCCAAAAGGGAGCTATGCAATGGTGGGGGAGGTGTTATTTGACACACAGTGATAGACAAGGCCTCACAACAAGGTGGATCTGAGACTAGATCTGAAGGCAATGCATGTTACGTTGGGAGAAACAGCGAGGGAGGCATGGCAGGAAAACAGTGTTTGGGGGCAGGAAGTGTAAAAAGAGGGTAGGAGAGCGTAGGAAGGCCAAATCATGTAGAACTCTGCACTTAAGAAGAAAAGTGGTTCTTATTCTGAGTATGAGGAGGGAAAGCCACTAAAAGTTTTGAGAGTAGTGACATGATCTGACCCATGCTGTAAAAGGGCCACTGTTGAAAAGATTATAGTGGTGAGGTCTGAAATTCAGGAGCCCAGCTGGAAACACTGAGAAGAAGCCAGGCAAAAGAGGGATCAAGGTGTTGGCAGAGGGAGTGATGGGAAGTAACCTGATTGTGATCTACCTTGAATGTGGAGCCAGACTTGGCTGTTGTTGTCCTTAAGTGCCATTGAATCAGTTCTGACTCATAGTAACCCTATATAAGGTATCCAAGGAGCAGCTGGTGGGTTTGAACAGCCAACCTTTTAGTTAGAAGTCCAGTGCTTATTCTACAGTGCCACACTGGGACTCCAGATTTGGATATGGATACTAAAGAAAGTATCAAGGAGGAATCTCAACTACTGGCAAGTCCCCAGATTATAAACGTCTGAATTATGGTCAACTCCTGGTTGGCCTTTAACTGTTATGTAAATTTGCCCTCACTTTGAAACAACTGAACCAATCCCTGTTGTTGTTAAGTGCGGTGGAGTCCCTTTAGACTCATAGTGACCCTGTATAGGGTTTCCAAAGAGCAGCTGGTGGGTTTGAACTGCCGACCTTTTGGTTAGCAGTCCAGTACTTATACTACTGGGCCACATCAGGACTCCACTACAAGCTCATCCTTAAAATCACCTTCACTTGCTCCTTGTGTGGCTTTTAAATCATTGAAAGATTTCAAGCATCTGTTCCAACTTACCGTCAAATTCTAAAAGACACAGTAGGGAATAAAACTCCTTAGTAATTGGGACTGCCTGTATGTGGCCTGAGCAACTGAAGGATTGATCTGCCATTAACTGAGATGGGAAATACAGCAGGAGGAAGAGGCGAGAGGGCATGGACGGCATTTGAACATGTTGTCTTTCAGATACCCAATGGGCATTCATGCAGAGATGCTAAACAGGCAACTGAGTAGATAGAGTCTGGACTTCAGGAGAACGAGCTGGCCTAGAAATATCAACTTAGGAGTCCTCACTGCGCTGGACTGCAAAGCTGGTTTGAACCGCAAGATTGGCGGTTCAAGGTGGTTGCTATGGGTTGGAACTGACTTGATGGCACTGTAATAACAACAACAATGTAAAGATGGAATTAAAATGAGAGGGATCACGTAGAGATTGAATTAACAGGCCAACAATTCATTGTACAAAATTTCTTACAAAGTATGTTTCAGATATCCTAGTTTAGATAAAATAATGATATAGACAACATTCCCAGTAAGACTTCTAAACAAAAATATGCATATTCACACTAAGTGGGAAAAAGACCATAAACAGTCTCATGTTATTTCAATTTGATGGGTTTTACCATCGAATGAATTCAAAACAAGCTAGGTTTTTCTGCCAATTAAGTCGTGAAAAAGCCTATTATTTTAGATGTTTTTTTGGACTTTAAAATTATAGATTAACAGATTTTGGACCGATAAAATAGGAAGAATTGAGAGTGGGGAAAAAACAAAACAAAACAAAAGGTCAGAAAAATAAAAAGCAAAACCTGCTGCTGTCAACTCCATCTCCTGGTGAGCCTATTTGCTGTTGTTGTTCAGAGCTACAGAATCGGTTCCAACTCGGAGAGACCCTGTGTAGGTTTTTTGAGAAGTGGTTGATGAGATTGAACTGCCAACCTTGCAATTTTAAGTCCAGTTCTTACCCTACAGCACCACACCAGGACTCCAGTGACCCGATAGGACACCAGAGAACTACTCCATTGAGTTTCTGAGACAGTAAATCTTTATGGAAGGAGACTGCAACGTCTTTCTCCTGAAGAGTGGCTGGTGAGTTTGAACCACTGACCTTTTAGATAGCAAGCAAGCAAGTAGTTAACTATTGTACCACAGGGCACTTTATTAGCCAGTGAGAGGGCTATGCCTGCAGGAACCAGGGGACAAATAATTTTCAAGGAAGAAGGAGGAACCAACTAAGTCAAATGTATCAAAATGATGAGAATTGAATTTGAGAATTCATGTAGCACACATACTTGTGACCAGGAGGCTCAGCAGCTAAATGAACCCAATTCACTGTTAGTGATGATTCCGGAAACAAAATGGGCATACCATTCAATCAAAAAATAAAATAAATTGAAAAGGAACTCATTTATATGTATTCTAAAACCTATCAACCTGGTAGTTAAGAAAGTATTCCTGGAACCATTGGATACAGATCTAAAAATTATTTTAAATTCTTTGGCTACAGTAGTGAAGCATCTAGAAGCTAAAAAAGGCAGGGGTGGGCGTATCATAACTCTGATTAATCAGTTAGAGGCAAAGTATTCCTCTCCTTTCCTGACACCTGCTACAGGGAATAGATTCGGCAACAGTGTGTGGGTTGGCATGGCCTGAGAAGGTAAAATTAGAAAAGGAGGAGCCAAAGGCTAATTATTGCTTGGTAGGGAAAAGTCCTCACAACCCTACTACGAAGAATTCTAATAAAGTTCCACTTAATCACAAACCATTCTTCAACTGTACAATGCTTAATACTAAATCCAGCTTAAAAACAAAACAGAGGTAGTCAGAGAAAGTACTTGTACGGAGCTATCTGCGGCAACTCCTATAAACCAAGGATACCGTGAGTTAGTAGTGAATGTGCTATAAAAATAATTGAAGAGTATAATGTTTAATTATGGTGGTGGTGGTGACATGCCATGGAGTCGGTTCCGACTCATAGCAACCCTGTACAGGGTTTCCAAGGCTGTAAATCTTTATAGGAGCAGAAAGCTTTAACTTTCTACTGTGGAACAGCTGGTAGTTTCAAACTGCTAACCTTGAGGTTCGCAGCCCAATTCATAACCACTACACTACCAGAGCTCCTTAGGTTTAATTATAGCTGACTAAATTATAGTTGACTACCAAATAAAATTGTTATCATTTTATGTAAAGTTCAGGTAAGAAGATGATTGTTCTAACAGTATGAACATTATGGATCATAGTAAAGCAGTCTTGACTGAATAGCAAAGTAATATATTACTTTGATATTTACTACTAGGTTTTACTGCTTCCATAAAGATTTACTGTCTCAGAAACTCAATGGAGTAGTTCTCTGGTATTTACTACTACAAATTACTGTGTAGTCAGTTCTGACTCATAAAGACCCTGTGTGGGGATTCCAGGGAGTGGCTGGTGGATTTGTGATTAACAGTCCAGTGCTTAACTTTCAGCACTACATCAGGACTCCAAAGTAATAAGAGTTTTGGGAATTTGAATATATAGAAGCCAGAGACTTGTTAGGGAATATCTTATGTGGTAATCACAGGCATGTGGCTAGTCATTGAAAATGGTGGAAGATACGATATTACTCCTGGCTTGCATAAAAGGGGTCAGTGAGGTTAAAGTATGTTCAAAGAGAATCCCTACTTGCATACGAATAGCAGATATCTTATTTTAAGATGCCAATATCCAGGATTTGGTGAAAGCTCTGCTATATACAACTGTTAGAGCCACCAATAAGGATTATCACCAAGCAATAACCAGGGAAAAGTTTTTGGTAGACAATCCCAAATGGAAGAGAAGTATACTGTAGCTTAACTGTTCAGCTTCAAGTTAATTTTAGTATATGAGGATATCTCAACATAACTACTTTTTCATATTAACTATGCGAACTAATTAGAATAACTAAGCTGAACTAAGAATAACCATGTGAGTATCATATAAAGTTAGATCTGTGCTCTATGCCCATTGTTAGATGCCTTTGTCTTATCTCTATGCAATCTCGTTAGAAGATAGTAATTGCTTTTTGAAAAGCTGCTGCTTACTTTGGACAATTTAATTTCAAAGAACCTTCATCGCATCATATTTTATTAGGAAAGAGATCTTAACCTACATTAGCATCTTCAGAGTTACTTTTTCCTACTCTTTCCTGTTTATTTACTTAAGTACCTACAAAGGCTCTAGGAAAGGAAAACAAAGCAAAGCAAACATATATAGCAATAAATTCAGGGATTACGCAAATACTAAAATCATCAACTTTAAAAAAGAGTTATGTCAATGGAAAAGAAGAACCAATTAGAACTTTTCAGACACATTTGCCCGAGCCTTTGTGAATCTTGATTGGCACCTTGTCCACTGTTTTGCACAAAGGTTCTCAGGAGAAGTGATGGATGTTTCCTCACTTGCCCATGCAGGTGAAAGGTAAGGTCTGCCCACTATTGGTAATGCCCTTGGACAGTAAATGAAAGAGCAGATACTCCATTCTCCAACACCAAATCTAGGTCCTATTGACACCTACACTGGTACTGGCCTCTGAGACTAAAGTGACTGGATTTTCTTTTGTTTTTCAAATTTCTAAGCCTGGAGAAGGGTTTCCAGGGACCTAAAAGGAAAGGTAAATGGGAAAAGATTTCAAAGGGCATAGTCCAACCTTTCTACCTTTGAAATAATCAACTCTCATTTTTCCTTCCCCCGCTATTCTTCTCCTTAAATATCTAACACATTCCTAAAAACAGATCTAATCCATCACCCTGCCTATCCCAGTGTAACTTTGCCAGTCACCAGAGGACTATGGTGAATTGACTAATGAGCAACGCTGTGGGCGTTAGGATGTCTACATTGCTAACTACTTTACAAATATCTGCCTATATAATCCAGCAACAAGGGGAGCTTCAAAAAGATTCTGGAAAATGTCCATTATCTTTTCATTTTTCCACAAACTTTTTGGAGCACCCTCGTATCCATATACATTCCGACTTCATTTTGTTTCAATTCTTGTTATTCGTTTCATGCATATAAACACCCAGTTATGAGAACACTGTATGTATGTGTATCAGTGAACAACCATGCTTACATTCAGTCCTAACATGCTGCTTAGAATAAATTCTATGACATGAAATGTTTGGGTCAAAAGATTTATAAATTTTCAATTATACTAAAAATTTACAATTCATTACTTAGAATCTTTCGTGTTCTCCATAAAAAGGAGAAACAGTAACAAATCCTGCATTGTGGGATATCTGGTCCTCAATTTCTTATTCTAGGCAACAAAGTAGTTAAACAAGAGTTAACTAGAAGTTAAACTATGAGCTGGCATCATTCATGGCTAATATGTGTATGATCAAAACTGCCCTCCAAAAACATTGTACCAATTAACTCTCCAACCAGCATACTATAATAATGCTTGTTTTTCTAGACCCTTAAATTCTGGGCATATCATATCTGCCAATATTTAAATAGGTGAAAGTAGAACTCTGTTGTCTTCTGTGAACTCTGTGATAATGAGTGTCTTGTTTTTCTATTCTGGGAGGAGAGTTTTTTTGTATTTTTTTTTTGTACAAGTTTTGAAAATACACTATAGAGATTATACATTTGTCATACATATGTTCCCATTTCAAAAAATGTGTGTTAGGTGCAGGAACTTAGCTCAATACACAATGCCCTGCAAAAATGATAATGCAAGTCAGCTAAGAGAAAAGGCTTTGTAATCAAATATAAGGGATTATTTACGTAGTACCTATATTTATATTGTTGTTGTTGTTAAGTGTCGTTGAGCTGGTTCCAATTCATAGGGTTTCCAAGGAGCGGTTGGTAGATTTGAACCACTAACCTTGATATTAGCAGTCCAGTGCTTATACTACAGCATCACTCTAGGACTCCACATTTATATTATTACAATGAAATTTTTTTAACTGCTTGGTTGTTCATTTAGGGAACACACAGCTTTTCTCATTGAGACTTACATGTAAAAATATTCAACAGGCAAACTATATTCTGAAGAGTCTACAGTTTATTACTTAGGGCTTTCCAGACTCTCCATAAAAAGGAGAAACAAAAACTCTTATATTGTGGGATATCTGGCCCTCAGTTTCTTCTTCTCTGCAACAAGGAAGCTAAACGAGTGTTAACTAGAAGTTAAAGTCTGAGATGGCATCAGGCACAGCTAATATGTCAAAAGCTCCTTGCCAATATTAGGTTTCAAAGGCAAGAAACAGCCTAAGCTATGATCCACCGTTCATATTACATGAAATGGCTGAGCTCTAGATACTGAGAGCACATTAGTTAACACATGAAATGGTTATATCCTGAGATCTCTGCTGAGAACCCCATTAATATATACAATAGTTGAACTGTGACCTTGGAAATCACTGATAGGATTTGTTGGCAGAGAGGATGCATGAGACTGTAGAAATCAAGTTAAATACAAGGTCACGCTTACCTGGAATATTACCACGCGGAATTTATTTTTCTTCATTATTTCCTCTTGCTTGGATTCCACTTTTGTAACATGCACTTGCTGATTCTCCACGCGGGCTTTCACATCTTTAATATGAGCACTGACTTTCCGAGTCTTCTCGAACAGCTTGTTGACAATATAGCCTGTATTGCTGTGTGCCTGTGAGAGCTTCAACAGGTCAATCTGGACGGATTTCATTGTGTTTTCCATCTCCCTATGTCTCTCTTCTATTCTCTTCTGACTTGCCTGCACGCTGTCCACAATGGAGGCTACTTTGTCCAGCACGGTCACAATGGTGACAGCTGCGTCTTGGTCTTCATCTTCTGTAACACTTGACAAGCGATTCTGGTGGGTTTTATCAGCTGTGGAAGCAGACCCATTATGCTCCATTTTATTTCTTGGTGAAAGATGCCCCACCACAATCAATTCTGGCACTTAGAGCAAAGAGTTAGCTTGATAACAGGCAACAGGGTTGTTTAAAGGGTTGGAAACCCCACCCCTGGAGGCTGGTCAAGTATTTATAACTACAAATACCCATATGTGACTGTTCTGAAATATGAACCCTTGCAAAGCACTGGGTACTGTTCCAAACATGCTTGCTGACTGACTAAGGGACTCAAATAAGAAGAGGAATGCTTTTTTGAAAAAGTTCACTAAAGCCACTAGGACACCAACATTAGCCTAGAAACCAAAGGACCGAAAAAGTAAACTTCTACTCATAGGTAAAAATTTTGCTTTCAATATTTTCAAGCAGCGTTTGTCAAAGAAAGGGGAAAATTTTAACTAAAAATTAGCATTTTCTATTAATTTTACTTGATAAATGTACTGACGAAACAATATCAAGAACGTAGAAAATAAACACACCAAACCGGAAGCCATATAGTGAAAACATTATATTATTACATGCTTTTCCAAATCAAATATTTAATATTTAATTTTGAACATATTAAATTCTACATGCATACTTTTGAATATCTAAATGACATGTTAAACAGCTGAATGCATTCTATTCACACTTTAGATCTTTAAACAACAATCTATTAATACAGCCATAACTACAGGACAATTTGGATAGAGGTCTTAGATAATCTTTTAAGCTCACTTTAAGAGCACCAATCTTCAACAATCGTTTCTGTATTTTATTCACAAACACTGATACAATTTGCTTATTTATGTTAAAAACAAATATTTTCTTTAAAAATGAATGCATATTAAAGGGGTTTAACTGATAAGAGTAGGCTTTATTCCAATCTGTTAAACAGTCTATTTTCACAATATCTAAATCCAGTTTTCAGCAATCTGTTCAATCATTACTGCCAGATACTTTTTCAAATTGCTAGAATTATTTTTTTCAAAGAGAGTAACAATCAAATTCTGGTCCATACATCTTATAAATATTTTACATCTAACACACACAGTTTTACAGCTCATGCAATAGCAATGTCTAAAAAATCAGTTACTAAATCTCAAAAACATTTAAATATCTATTTAAACACAGTGTCTTCTAGAATTTTCTTTGTAAGAAAAGTAATCTGTAAACATCTCTCCCTTTAGTTCATGCTTTGTCATTGCTATGGTCAGTGTGGAAGCAGAGGGTATAATTTTACAACCATTTGTGAAGTGGTCCTTTTTTGCAAAAATATTACATTCCGGGGTAAAGAACAAGTCTTAGAATTACCATGTGGTACAAATTCATGAAATCAATTTCTGTATTTAAAAACATAAAACAAAGACTACTAAACAGTCCAAAACTGTTGTAGCTGAATATTTCTAAATACAAGCCAACAGTTACTACACTAAAAATGTCCAAAAATAAGGCCTCTGAAATAAATATTTCCATTCTTTAAAAAAAGACATAATAAATGTACATCACATGGTCAGTGTATGTATAAAAGCCATCAGTTTAAACCATTCTGGATGACGTATCTGAAGTAAAATGACCTAGATTTTGCTTCTGTCGGCGTCCTCTGTTGTTTTTAGGGCATTTTCTGTTTCATTAAAAAAAACAAAGAAAGAAAATTATTATTTTATTTAGAATATGTCAATGTTTCCAAAGTAATACACATTTCATGCTGAGAGCCATATTGCATGAGATCACGTGAACAAGAGGCTGTTTGGTATGAGACATGGCAAGGAACACTGCAATGTTGGGCCACCTTCCCTACACAACCGGGGGTGTGAAGCATGAGACAGAGGGTGCAGGTATGGACACAGCAGAAATCATTCCCAGCGGATACACTGCTGCACATACATCCTGAGAAGAACTCCCACCTACCCTCTGGCCCAGCAACTTCCCACCTACAGTGACTGACACATACGAAGTCTGCTGCAGTAGGAAGGACCTCCGCCTGCACACTTTCCCTGAGCATCATGGGAGCCATGGAGTCCCTGGGTGGTACAAACGATTCAAGTACTCACCAACCAAGAGGTTGGAGGGCTGAGTCCACCCAGGAATGCCTCAGAAGAAAGACCTGAGCATTTACTTCCAAAAAATTAACCAATGAAAACCCTGTGAAGCTCAGTTCTACTCTAATGCATATGGATGTGATCTCCATGAATCAGCGTTGACTCGTAGCTCCCTCATGAGGCAGAGGAGAGTTCCCCTATAGGATATTCATGGCTATAATCATTACAAAGAAGTCCTGATGTGGCACTGCAGAATAAGCAGTGGACCTCAAGGCCAGTTTGAGACATAAGATCAGTGGTTCAAACTCACCAGCTGCTTCTCAGAAACCATATACAGGGTCACTATGAGTCGGAATCGACTCCACAGCACCTAACAACAACAACCTTTACGGAAGCAGATCACTTCGTTTTGCTCCTCCAGAGTTGCTGTGTGGGTTCAAATTGCCAATCTTTCAGTAGGCAGCCAACCGCTTAACCATTACAATACCCATAATCACTCCTAAAATGACAAAAATCACTTATATGAAGGGTAAAATCATGAAGATGTGCATTTTATTAAGCTCAGAGATTTATACACAGGCATTGCCTAGTAATTGTAAACAATAACTAAAAGAATGAAAAGAAATCATTCCAATCCACAGAACACAACAATGAACTGTCATACTGAGGATTAGGGATATTCCCTAACTTGGCCCTAATTTTACTGTAATGTTTCCTGTGGCGTAATGAATCTCACTGCATTGGAACCGCTCTTGTGGCAAACATACAATCTCTTACTATGCACAAGGTGCTATGCTATGAAATATGGGGTGGTAAAGAGACTGGGATGAAGACTGCACCTTGGGCTGGAATTTGGGCTCTGTTATTTGGACATATTTTCAGGAGGGCCCAGTAGCTGGAGAAGAATATCATGTTTGGTAAGGTGGAGGTCGGAGAAAAAGAGGAAGACCTCCAGCGAGATGGATTGGCAAAGTGGCAGAATCAGTGGGCTCAAGAGTGGCAACAATGGTGAGGTTGGCCCAGGATCAGGCAGTGTTTCACTCTGTTGCGCATAAAGCCTCTATGAGCTGGTACTGACTCAATGTCACTTAACAACAACATTATTAACAACCTGTGTAAACTCAATTTCCCTATATGTAAAATATTAAATTAGGGGCTGGACTGACCTCTAAAATCATTGGCAGCAAGGAAATAATAATCTAATGGGAAGAAAGTCTTATAACAATGAGTATTAGCACTCTAAAATTCGGTTTTTATTCAATTTTGAAAAGTACTGGCATGATAATGATGAGATTTCCATTTTGTATCTTGTTTTCACAATTTTTCTTTCATCCTCATAAAAATTCTTTGAAATTGACTGAATTAGAATCGTCTCCATTTCAGAAGAGGAAAGTGGCTGAGAGATTAAGCAACTCTGTCACTAACTCACCATGACGTTGGAAAAGTTCCAAGTTCCCTGGACTGTGGGTTTTTCATCTATAAAATAAGTGGGTTTCGCTACTCTGATATATGAGGTCCCTCCCAATTTGTCATTTTATAGGCATCTAAACAGATGAAAGGAATTCCAAGCAGAAAAAAAATCATTCCTGTAGCTTTGATAAGCAGGTCACTGGAAGCAGTCATTTAAAAGGAATATTCTTCACCATGTAATAATCACCATGGGATAATGAACAGTTGTCCCATAATGCACTGTGTGGGAGAGATTTTTCTCATAAATTCAATGGAGAGGAGTACAGTACATAATTACAATATTCTAAATCCAAGAAAGCAAGACAGTCTGGTGGACAAAATGCTACAATAAAAACATAGACCTCAAGAGAAATCTGTGATAAAGCCAAAGTGACCCATCAGCCATAAAGTCAGTAAGCAGTGAAGACACGATGACATTGTGATGCCCAAAGATGTCTGTGACAACATCAATGGATTTGGAGCATAAACTAGAGTTGCCAATTTGAAAGCTGTCAGTAGTTTTAATGCAGAAATTGAAGGTTACAGGACACTAGGAACAAAAGCATGTTGCTGTTAAGTGCCATCATGTCAGTTCCGACTCACAGCATCTCTGTATAAGGTTTTCAAGGAGCAGCTGGCAGATCTGAACCACCAACCTTGTGTTTAGCAGTCCAGTAAGGCACACTAGGACTCCAGAAATACAAAATTCAATCAAAAGCTAGATTCCAAGTTGCAAGAGAGTGTACCTAGAGTTCTACAACCTGGACAAGCTATTTCCCCTCTCTGGATTTCAGTTTCTTCACTTTTCCAGAATGAAGTGGGAAACTCAAGGCGGCTTCCCAAGGGCTCTAACAGCCTCTGTTCCTCTTACACATGGCACAGCACTAAGCCTCGGAATCTTTTCTTACCTTACTGTATTTCTGCCACCAAATAATTACTTATTACCCATGCTTGCTTTACTCTCATAATGTCCCAAATGGTCTTCCTGCCTTCCACCTTCCCTATCCTGATGAATCCTGCAGATGACACTCAGATTAAGGCTCTTGAAAAATGGTTTTCACCAAGTCCCTTTCCCCGTTCAAAAATTCTTAATGGTTACAAAATCAAGTTTGAACCCTGTTCTCATGCAATGTAATACTTTGTAAATATGCTACCCAAGATGTCCATGAACCTCATTCTTAATTGTGTGGTGGAAAGAAAGGGGCTTAGGGTGCAGGCAGCACTGAATCTAAATCCAAGCATTTCTAGTTACTGGCTGGCTGATCAGAGGTACACTGCTCAATCTCTGAGCCTGTATGAGACAGCCACAGCCGGCCCTGATGTTTGTTAGACACTTGGTTTGGCTTGGTTTCTCCTATCTTTTCTTTCTTTTGACAATACTTGTAGGTCACTGTGTCTCAACATTTAATCTACTTCTCAGTTTTATAATCAGTGTTGTTGTTGTTAAGTACCATGGAGTCAGTTCCGACTCATCTTTCTCCCATGGAATGGCTGGTCGTTTCAAACTGCTGACCTTGGGGTTAGCAGCCCAATTC